AACTCAACAATAAGAAAATGAACAACTTGATTTAAAAATGGGCACAATACTTGACAGACACCTCATCAAAGAAGATATACAGATGGTACGCAGCATATTAAAAGATGTTCCACACCAGATGTCATTAGGGAATTGCAATTAAAACAACAATGAGATACCATTACACACCTCTTAGAATGGCCAAAATCCAGAACACTGACAGCACCAAATGCTGGTGAGGATGTGGAGCAACAGGAACTCTCGTTATTGCCGGTGGGAATGCAAATGGTGCAGCCACTTTGGAAGACAGTCTGGCAGTTTCTTATAAAACTATACATACCTCATGTACAACTATACATACATTACCACATGATCCAGCAATCCTGCTCCTTGGTGTTTACCCAAAAGAACTGAAAACTTATGTCCACATAAAAACCTCCCTATGAATGTTTGTAGCAGGTTTATTCATGATTGCCAAAACTTGGAAGCAACCAAGATATCCTTCAGTAGCTGAATATGTAAATAAACTGTGGTATGTCTAGACATTGGAATATTATTCAGTGCTGAAAAGAAATGAGCTGTCAAGCCATGAAGAACCTTAAATGCATATCACTAAGTGAAAGAAGTCGGTCTAAAAAGGCTACATACTGTGTGATCCCAACTATATGACATTCTGGAGAAGGCAAAACTATGTAGACAGTAAAAATATCAGTGGTTGCCAGGAGTTGGGGGGGAGAAGGAGGGATGATTTTTAGGGGAGAGCACAAAGGATATTCAGGGCGGTGAAACTATTCTGTGTGATGCAATAATGGTGGATACATGTCATTATGCATATAAAAGACACTGGAACCAGAATTAAGACTTTTCCATCCAAGGCAGAATATTCCAGAGTCTCTCAACACAGAAGCCAGTGTTTTTCAAACTTCAATAGCACCTCATTAATAGGAATTCAGTGGGTTTTAATCAACATTGTTTAAAGAAATTGAATAGAAAATAGCCTGAATTGCACTTAATAAGGAGAGATATTGATTTGTGACACGTTGGTTTCTGCTTTATATGTGCACAGCATGTGTACTGATCATGATGTAAAAAGGTGTTCTGTAAGTTGCGGAGCCCCTGCCCTGTGTTATACCACCCTACTGCTCATGTTCTAATGGAGCACACTCCTAGCTGGGTGATTCAGAGAACAAACCAGTGAGAATATCAACAAGATTATTTTAGCTACTGAAGTGCATTCTGAAGAACCAAGCAGGGTAATGACAGTCATGGGCAGTGTGTGTGCCGAGGGGAGGGGTAGCACGTGATCCAGAGCCCTCGAAGCGTTGCACCTGAGGTCTGAATGTAATGAAGGAGCCCAAGCCTTGTGGAATTCTCCGAGACAAAAATATTCACCTTATGGAGACTTCATGTTTCAGTGTATGTGTGTGAGGTGATAATTCTGAGATGGCTTCTACACTGCTATTTTAATCAACATGTATGTTGTGTCAAGCTTCACCAAGTGAGGAAAGACACGAAGAGTAGCAGTGAAGCATGGCTGTGTGTGTGTGCACACGTGCGCGTGTATAAGGTAGGGTGAGTCAATTTATACCCATTACTACGTCTGAGGGACACTCAAGGGGGAGTGTCCGGAAGACAGAAGACATTCAGATCCAGACTCAGGACTCAGCTCTGAGGCAGAGACACAAAGATGTAGCCGAAGGTGGGAGAGTGGAGGGTCTCATTTCTGGAGAGCAGGTCGAGAGAGAGGAAAAGGAGAGCCCTCTGGGTGGCATCTTTCAGCCACCAGGAAATGCTCGTCGTCAGAATACTTCTAAAAATGACATGTTCAACTCAATGAGTAGAATATTTACCCAGGGATACTTTTAGTGTATTATTTGCTTAGCAAAATGTTTCTTCCTCAGAGGAAAAAGGAACATTTCATATTTGTTCTCATTGTGTTATCATAATTTTAAGAGATTTTGTAGAATATCTTACCTCCTTATGTACGTCTTTATAAATGAAGTTTTTTTTAAAAGATGCAATTGTAAAAAGATAGTAGTAATAACCATAAAAATAGTCGTTTGTGGCTCTAATCAAATGTAAATCTTAAGATTCTAAATATTAATTATATAGCCAACAATGTTTATTGTTAGGAAAATTGCATATCTTGGTTATAAATAATCATATAGATGGATATACACACAAAAATGAAGCATATATTGGCTATAAAAAGATGACTGAAGGGCCTAATTCTGATATACAGTCAGTGGTCTAGAAAATAGTACATAAATGTCCATTTTACCAAATTAGACATATCATTAGAGAAGGCCACATTTTCTATTCGTTAGCTTAAAATTCTCTTAAGTAGTTGGTCACTGCTGATGTTGCAAACATCTTTTTCCACAAATAAATACTGTTCTGTGAGAAGCATGCAGGTCTCAAACATGTTCTCATTTCTCTTTAAAAAAATGTTATACTTGCTATGCTAAAATTTTCCCTTAGGAAGGAAAAAAAAGTATACAGATGAGTTATTTATTTTGCTTTTCCTTCCTTCACTCCAAGTCTTCACAAAATTCCCCTCACATTCAATACATGGGGTGGATCCATGCTACAAAATAGCAATCTACTTAATCCTTTATGAAAATTGTGTTCCCCTGCCTATAGGAGAGAGGGAGAAAACTGCTCTAATACATTCCCACACACAGGCAACGCCTGCTCCACCACCTCCCATCTCTGCACCGTGTTTACTGAACAACACATCAAGTCACAGGCTTACCTCTCCCCCTCATCGCCTGCACACACACTAATAAACACCCCTTACTCTGGCTTTATCTTCTCCAACAAATGACCCATCTTTCTTTGAACAGAAATTATGTCTTATTTGAAAGAGTAAATTTTAACTTATATTTCCTCTAAGAAGATCATAGCACTATGAGAATAAAGCCCATTGTTTCTCAGTCCTACTAAACTCATACAATGCTCATTCTGAAGTTAAACATGATTTTTGCTATAGAGTGAAGGCAAATAATTATTGAATTTGCCAAAGATTTTCAAATGGATTCTCTTTCAGAGTCTAAAATATGGGGTGCCATGATAGTTTGCATGAAAATAATGCAACTGAGCTCAATTATTTCAAGCCCTCTAGCTAGAGTGTGGATTTGTCATGTGTTGGGGGAAGGAGGGGTGTGGATTCACCATTCAGTCCATCCCACCCTTGATAGCTGGGAACTCTGTGAGGTGAGGGAAACACAAGATGCAGCGCTTGCCTTGCAGGAGGGGAGATGCATTTTCACACACTGTGTTTTTATACATCTTCAGACTACAGGCCACCGGTATGAATGCCTGTAAATTCTTTTGGTCTCAATGGCCCTACAAAAATAAATTGCCCACACGATTGGCCTGAATATTACAAACACCCGATGCATTGTTTTTCTTTGGGATGAATATGGGGGAGAGGGTATAATGATGGAGGTAATTTTTTTTCAAATAATGATCTGTGAAAACATGGTACCGTTTTATGTTATTAAAGTCTTCGGAAAAAAATGCAATGTTTAGGTAATGCAGCATTATTTGCAGGGAGGGCGCCTGAAAGGAAGCGGGTTTGGGTAATTTTACTAGTCTTAAGCAGCTGACTTTTCTCGTGAAAAACTCCGGGCAGTATCTCAGAACTATTCCAAGTTGCCAGCTCCCCAACGCTGGAGGGGGTGAAGACAGGGATGACGACAGACAATGAATAGGAAGCGGCGGTTTTCTTTTAATTGCCTTGAAAATATCCATAGATGGGTAACAGGGACGAAATAAAGAAACACAAAGAAAAACGGGTTTGGAAGTAGCACAGCAAGCTCGACGGGGCGTGGGGCTGCTTTACACAAGCCAGCCTGCTCACTGCGTCGACGTTCTAGCAGCAGTCCGTCCCACCTTTTCACAGATACAGGAGCTATTTCGAGTGGAAACTTGGGACGCACCTGGTTTTCTCTTTGGTCTATGTTGTTCTGCTAAAATAGCGGGGGTGACCCAGAAGGCGTGCTAGCTCGTTGCTACATTTCAGGATGAGGCTGCTCCGGAGAGCGCTGGTGACTGAGAAAGGGGGTGGGGACAAAGAGGAAGAGGACTGGGGAGGAGTGAGGGAGCTTTGGGGAGGGACGGGGAGGGGGAGGGAGAGGAGAGAGACGGGGACAAGCGATGCATGGGCGGGGGCTGTGCTGAAGCTGGCTGGTCCCAGGACCCGGTTTTGATACAGCCTCAGGAGTGGCCAGATTGAACGCGAGGACCCAGCCCCGGCCAAACCTCACAGACCGTTACTCCGGCCTCCTTCTGGGGCGGGGCGCGAGGGGGCCCGGCGCAGCCAAACCCGCACGGCAGCGTCTCCAAACACCACGGAGGAGGGAAAACACACGAAGAAAAAGGACAAAACAGAGAATGCAAACGGGGGAGGAAGAATACAGCCCCTCAGGTTTTAAATGGATTCCTTTGCCTTAGAGAAAGGGAAAAGGAGAAAAAAACCCCACGTGCCCCGAGAAGGTGTTGTGTTAAAGCGCCACCTTCCGTCGACCAGGGGCGCAGCGGGCTCCCCTGGCGGGCTCCGGCCTCGCGCTGAGCCGGGGAGCGGCCCAGCCCCCCGGGGGCGCGCCGGGGAGCAGCTGCGCCCCCCCGGGGGCAGGCCGGGCTGCACTCGCTATCTCGAGCTGTGCGCGCGCCCGAGTGTGTGCACACGGAGAGTGAGCGCGCCCCGTCTGCTCACACCGACGGGCCTCCCGGGGACCGGGCACAAAGGGGAGCCAGGCTTCTCCTGGGACCCGGTCCTCGGTTCGCGCCGGCGCCCGGACTGGTCCGCGGCGCCCGCTCGTCGCGGTACGGTGCGCGGCTCCTGAGCATCCCGGGGAGAGGCGCATCTGTGCACACACGCGGATTTTTTTAAAAATAACATATTTCTAGACATGCCTCCTCCTCCCCCACCCCCCATCTTTGCAAAGCAGCCCCGAGGGTGGGGTGAAGGGGGAGGGGCCGCGGAGTTAATAAAGGGAGATGGGCGGAGCCGGCCCCCAGCCATTGGCTGGCCCGGGGAGTGATGTCACCCATATGACACCCTGATAACTAGTTGGGAGAGAGCCCTCAACTTTTTGCAGAAGGAGCGCGCGCGCCTGGGAGTGCTCGGGGTCCGGCGCTTGCGGCGGGAGCCACGAGCCGGAGAGAGGGGTCCCGGGCTGCTTCGACCACCGCCGCCGCTGTCGCCTCTCCCTTTGCGGCCGCAGCTCCCCGCGCGCGGGCGGCCGTCGCCGCCGAAGCCGCCGCAGCCGCTGTGTGCAGCCTGGAAGGGGGGGCGGGGGGGAGGGGGGTTGCCGCGGACGCGGGGTGCCGAGGACTTTGCAACTTGCCCGGGAAGGTGGAGGGGCGAGAGGGGGAGGGGGATCTCCGCACGAGACCGAGCGGCCCGGGTCGGAGCTCCCAGACCCGCAGCGGATCATGGTGCAGCAGGCGGAGAGCTTGGAAGCGGAGAGCAACCTGCCCCGGGAGGCGCTGGACACGGAGGAGGGCGAATTCATGGCTTGCAGCCCGGTGGCCCTGGACGAGAGCGACCCGGACTGGTGCAAGACGGCGTCGGGCCACATCAAGCGGCCGATGAACGCGTTCATGGTGTGGTCCAAGATCGAGCGCAGGAAGATCATGGAGCAGTCTCCGGACATGCATAACGCCGAGATCTCCAAGAGGCTGGGCAAGCGGTGGAAAATGCTGAAGGACAGCGAGAAGATCCCGTTCATCCGGGAGGCGGAGCGGCTGCGGCTCAAGCACATGGCCGACTACCCCGACTACAAGTACCGGCCCCGGAAAAAGCCCAAAATGGACCCCTCGGCCAAGCCCAGCGCGAGCCAGAGCCCAGAGAAGAGCGCGGCGGGCGGCGGCGGCGGGGGCGGGGGCGGCGGCACGGGCGGCGCCAAG